TGATCCCTACGATCAAAGGTGATCGGACAAGCCGACCATGGGTTGAATTTTGGGGCGACAGGCTCTACGGCGTAGACGTCCCTTAGTGCGCGCGTGCACTCCCTCTTGGGGATGTGAGTGGCATAGATCATGTTCACTGTTTTCACTTCGGGGGGAAAGTGCCTCTGACCCCCGGTGTTCAGCTGACGGGGCTCATCATCATCCTTGCTTGGAGGTCCCTTCCCCTTATGTTCGGTGTTTAACTTACCGTCCTGTTTAAAAACCCAGCAATTTCTATTGGTGTGATTGGCAGGCTTATCGGGGGTGCCATGAATCTTACAAGGCCTCTCGAGGATTTTTTCCAAATTGGATGATCGTCCCTGTTGCCCTTAAAAGGTTTCTTCCGCTGACCGGGTTTAGAACCACTGAATCCGGCGTTGACTGTCGTGTCTTTTGTGTCGTTGTTATTGTTCCGGCGCTTGTTTTTATTGCGGTGTAGTCTACCATTGCCGTCCCTGGCCTCTGAGGTGTCGAGGTCACTAGAACTGTTGCTTCTACAAGCTAGCCAGATATCTTCGCCTGCACAAAAGCGGGTCATAAGTGTTGTAAAGCTGCCATGGTTCTCGGCTTTTCCTACCCGAGGTGTCGGGTGAGCCATTCGTCACGGACGTTGTGTTTTAAGGTCGCTAAGGCTACGACGTCTGGACAATCCACAATGTGGTTCTTTTTAATGAGGAACCGATTCCAAAGTTTGCAAGCTGACTCTTCGGGTTGCTGGACTATGTGACTTAGGTCATAGGCATCCGGTGGCCGGACATAAGTGCCCTGAAAGTTGGCCTGGAAAGCATCTTCTAAATCTTCCCAGCTCCCAATGGAGTTCTCTGGGAGGCTATTCAACCAGTGTTGTGCCGGTCCCTTTAACTTTAGGGGAAGGTATTTAATGGCGTGGAGATCATCTCTGTGAGCCATGTGAATGTGGAGAAGAAAATCCTCAATCCAGACGGCAGGGTCTGTCATTCCATCGTACTGCTTGATGTTGACGAGTTTAAACCCTTCCGGAAATTGGTGCTGCATTACTTCATCAGTAAAGCACATAGGGTGTTCGACACCTCTATAGCTGGCTACATCGCGACGGAGTTCGGATGACATCTGTGTTCGGTGCTGACCTCGAACTTGACGATGTTCATCGCGCCAGGTTTGGTGGTCGTCATCTCGTGCCGGAGCACGTCCTCTGGATCCATAGATTGATCGAGTCTGGCCGGCTTTATTTGCCAAGGCCCGACGTAAGTCATAAGTTTAGTCCGGCGCCGCTGTCTTCTTGCCTCTACGGTGAGGTGGTGCAGGCTGGTGTTCGACGTGATGAGCCGTTTTGTCCCGTCCATGTGGTGGTCGGTCTGGTTGATCATCATAATTGTATTTTGACGGAATTGGCTCGAGGGCTTCATCATCAAATTGTGGCAGTAGCCTGTGCTTGGGGTAACTGTTTACTGGTCGCTCAAGGTCTTATTCTTAGGCGGCTAGGACCTTGGTCCATCTATTGTTGAGCGTGACTTGTTCAGCTTGAAGCTGCCGCTGTTTCTTTTTCAGGCTTCGCGCGGTGGCGATGAGTTGTTGCTTGAAGCGTTCTTGTTCAAGGTGTTCCTCTGGGACGCTGAAATCTTCGTCACCGAGGCTCACATCCTCTTCGGAGGCAGGTAAGTAGTTGATGTCTTCCAAGTCCTCGTGATCAGCGTGTTCGGGGCTATATTGACCCTCCTTCCTCTCGTCCTGTTCGGACGTGGGTTCAACGGGGTGGTTGCAGTCTTCAGCGTTATCTAGAGTGTCATTGTCTCCGGTGCCGGTATTACTATCCTTTGCCCGACGCGATTGTGAGCGGCGCCGCTGACGCCGATGCTTTGGTGGTTCATTGACGGGCTTGTCCTTGCCTGGATCTTGAATGTTGTCGTCGTCCTTCTTCTCAGGAGTGTCCACCATGTATACATCGTAGGTAGAAGTGGCCATCCAACGCCCAGTGATAGGCGGGTTTTGGCTTTGTTCGGCGTCGACATCATCGTCCATGTCGTCGATGTCTTCGAAGGCGTAGTCTAGCATGTTAGTTAAATCCTCGACATTGGCTATTAAGTGGGTGGTGGGTGGGGTGTGAAATTCCCGGTCTCAGCCCCCAGCCTGAGCTTTGTGTAGTTTGGAGGCAAGGCTTCCGTAATGGCGAGAGATTGTATTAAGCCCCGTGCTTCGTCTAAGAGCGAAAGCTGGATAGGAGTCCGCGGATCTGTGGGGCTGGGCACTTGATCGAGCCCGATTGATGCAGGCCTCGACAGTTCGGAGTTATCGTCCAGAGGCGAGTCCGGTTCTCCGATGACTGGGAGAGTCCTGTTTGACTCCGGGTTTACCAACGGCGCGATCACATCTGGGTCTCCGGTCGGGAGCTCCATGATAGGAGAAGGTCCGATGGGGTCAATCCCCCCGTCTTTGGACGACATGATCTGCCCCGGATCTGAGGCCGAGGCAGGTGTGAACATTGACCCCTGGATGGGATTTGATAGCGGATCTGAAGGGCCTTCTTCATAAGGGTAGGGAGCGGCAGTCGAGGTCACGAATCCCTCGAAGATCAGATCTCCTCGGATGTCAGTGGCATAGTTCAGGTTCCCAAAACTGATCTGGTGATTGGGGGCGTAGCTGTCGACCTGCTCGAGTTGGCCGGTCGAGTCGGCACATAGCACGAAGCCGCCGAACACAAAGATCTGTCCAGGGAGAAAGGTCTCCCCGGACACGGTGTCATCATTGAGGATGAGGCGCGCCATCAATTCTTCTGTTGACAATGCAGCATAGCTCTCAATGAAAGCACCAATGTCAGTGTCAAAACCGGCAGATCTCGGGTAGGGGGCCCAAGCTGTGCGTCTGAGGATCAATGGTAACAATGGACAAAGGGACACAATGTTTACCCAGATTCAGGCCCTCTTAAAGGAGGTAAAGCCCTACGTCCTGCTTGATTGTATTCGATGAGTATAGGGGTTACAAGAGTTGATCTACCTCGTGATCGTAATGGCTAAACCCTAGCTTATCTAGCCTACGAATATTATGATTGTGCCTGCATACTAAACCCTCCGATTTATATAGACACCAGAGGGGCCTAGGTTGTACAGAGTCGGTTTACAGGGAAAGGAAATAGCCTATCCAGACACCAATCTTGTCGTTCACGCATATAGGAGTCCTACCCAGACAAGGGAGGTGGTCTTGTTCCTTTATCTTCACGGCCCATCAGTCCGACCCATATCGAATAGACCGGACGCCCGAGGACCCCTTAGTCCAGGACTCCCTCAATGGGAGATGACGACCCAGTGCGGAGATGTCGTGGTTGTTGTGTAGGCGGTGTGCGGGCTAGTAGAGATGCCTGTCGACATTGGCGTTTTGCGAGAGGGTGGTGGTTTCGCTACTTCAACGAAAGCTTGGCCGATGACTACCACCTGACGACGATGGCGCCCATGGGCGTCTCTATCATCCTTGGAGGTGTCATCGAGGAGTTCATGTATCGTCACCCCCTGGATTAATCTCTTCTGAGAAAGTCATGATCCCGCACAGGGGCGTGCGGTAGAGGTCTCTCAACGTCATTTCCCCCTTTGGGGTGTCGTCTTGAAGTTCTTGATCCACACACACTTCCTTGGTGCTGGACGTGCCTGATCGTGTGGTGTGGTTGGTTGGCGTTGTGACTCGCGTGACAACAATGATGGTAACAAGAGGAGTGGGGTAGTGGCATGTCCTCTATGGTCGACCGATCGACTTGTCTGTACGGTAAAGTCAGAGCTGTGTAGTTGCGGGATAACGCGGTGGCAACGATGACGTGTAATGGTCATGATATCCTATATTTCGCAAGACGTGCTTCTTTTTCCTACGAAACTTGTTATCGTCAGAGCCGCCTAGCCCTCGGCGTGGTTGACCGATTGTTTGGCATAGGGCAACATGTTTCTAGTGCATTGTTCGTCCCTGGGGCTCTTGGTTGGTCGTCCTGGTGAAGTTAGAGTCGCTTGCTCAGGGAGAAGCGACGACGATGACAACCCGTAGGCATCTTCGACGTTGTTCCTCTCGTTGTGTGGGTTTTGTGGGTTGCCACTTTGGCCAGGGTTCCCTATCATGTGAGCGTGTTCTAATTATTTTCGTCAGTTTTTTCATATATTAATCTGACAACTCTATTCTATCTTTCCTAATGAATCATGTTGTAAAGGGTCAACTTTGAAAAAGAAAAGAAAAACTGAACAAGTTTTTCCAACCCGCACAAACACATCTCCAACGTCCATTCCGGCTGATCCAACGGCTCACCCGACCCCGCGCGCTCCTCCCCCGTGGCGCCAACAATCCGTCCAAAACCGGGAATTTTCCCCACGAAATGCTCCAGCGGCGCGCCATCCTCAAATCCTCCCCACCCCTACTTAAGCCCTCCACCGCTCCCCCAAATCCTCACAAACCACAGCGCCGCCGCACCCACCACCACCGCTCGCCCATCCCACCCGCGCAGATGGCCCGCACGAAGCAGACGGCCCGCAAGTCCACCGGCGGCAAGGCGCCGAGGAAGCAGCTTGATGTTATGTCTGGTGAATGATACCATCCTGGGGATGATTCTTGTGCTGGAGTTTTTATGGTTGTGATTGTTCATGTCTTCATGACGATTCTTGTGCATCAGAAATTTGCAGTTGATAACTACAGTAGAGACTACATTTTTTTGTCTAATCTTTCAGTACTACATGTAGTGGTGCATTCAGAACTGGGTGCATTATAGCAGAAACAAGTCTATAACAGGACACACTTACTATTAAGCTCTTCTTTTCTGTCATTCTACACAGCTGTTAACTGACAGAATGAGTAATTTGGTGTGAGCAACACTGTCTCTGACTAAACTTGAGAAATTGGATCTTTTGCCCCACTTTACTTCTCCATTTGATCATTTGCCCTGTTATCTGACAGCGGGATAACTTGGTTTGAGCAAACAGTATCTCTGAGTAAACTTGTGCTGTGATCAGGCTATGGGGTCATGGCTGGCAAAGTTTTGAAAGATCAGAAGGCGGATACGAGTATGAACCACTCATCACTGCAGATGCTACGATATTGTTTGCAGCTTCAGTGGCATGGATTCCATCCCAGCTCACGTAGTTCTGCGGGTCTCCGCAGGCCGCCGCACTCGCAATGTTGCCCTTCACAATCTTGCTGGTGCCACAGTATAGATCTGGGTCAAAATTGTAAGCTCCACCACCGTATCCGCAGCAAGCCTTGGTCCCATACCTGAGCCCTGAAATGATCACCACCAAACCAGTTTCAGTAGTACTTGATGCTTGTAATTTCAGATATGGCTATGAACCAAACCAATTCATGTACTCGTCGGATGGCAGAAAAAGATCGGAGAGAAAGCTCACCATGAGCTTCTGGATGCCTGAACAGCTCGAGCATGACGGAATATTTGTCGACGTACATGATCGACGCTTTCTGCAGCGTCTTCCTAACCTTGGCCAAGCTGTTGTTCAGTAGTTCATTGTAGTAGACAACTGCGCTATTGTAACTTGTCATGCAGCCATACTCATCCAGATCATCGCTGCTATGTGGAAGCTCCACTAGAAAAGCCGGGTAGCACCCGATCGGCGCCATGTTAAACACCATGAATTTGCGAGCCCCGATGCTGTACAGGTCCTGCAAATAGTTGAGCAGGTGCCACACATGATGGAGTCCATCAGATTCGCCAGTTATTTTGATCATTTAAAGTAATATCAACCACCATTTGTGCTACTCCAAATTACCTGTATAGCCAACGAGATCTGGCTGATAACCGAAGGAAGCGTTTGCTTGACACTCTCGACGCCCTGCGACGCTAGGTTGGAGGTGAAATCATTCTGGCCAATGTCGATCGTGTACAGAGAGTTGCCGAAAACGTCGGGCCGGGGAAGCTGGCCTGCAAATCAAGCAAACAATGCATCTTAAATTCAGAGAATTCAGACCATGTTTTTTTTGTCAGGGGTTTTTAGTTACCACTGGTGCCGCCGGCGGCGATGGCTCTGTTGCTGAGCTCCTTCATCTGCCGGAGCTGGATGGCGAGGGAGAAGGGGCTGATGTCGGTGACGAAGAGCGACGTGTTGGGCAGCAGCGCCGTGGAGGCGAGCGTGGCGAAGTTGGCGCCGTGCCGGAAGTCGGAGCCGACGGACTGCAGGTAGGGGCCCAGCAGCGGCAGCCCCATGGCCTGAGCTGATCACCAGAGTCAAGCCGTCAGAATTATACTATCAAACGAACGGCTGGATAGAGCGGCGAGCGTAGGTACCTAGGAGTACCTATGAAGTCGATGACGAGGCGGCCGTCGGAGGCACGTCCGGCGGGCCGGCCGAAGTAGGTGACCCCGAACGGGTGCAGCTGCGCCGGGAAGGCGGCCCAGAAGCCGCCCGTGTCGGAGTTGGAGTCGCCGAAGTTGAACACGGCCGGGAACTTGCACCGCCAGCCCTCGCCGGCCGCGGCACCGATGCAGCAGCACAGCACCCTGCAGGAGCAGCCGCCACGCCGACGCGATCCTCATCTCGGGGGAGCAAAACCACGTGCGAGCGAGCTCACACACTCAGTGGCTGTGTCGTGGTGCGCGGCGTGGCAAGCTTGCCATGCTTATACAGCGGCGGTGCTGGGCTCGAGATTTGGTTGCATCTCGTACTGATCGAGTTCAATCTGTGTTTCGAAACTGGAGATATATTGTCGGGCTGGACAACAACAATGCGCTGGACAAATTCATCGTCACGGCAAATATGCACACTACACAGCTTCTTCATTTGTGATGAACTTTGAAAACAACTTCAACCAACAAGTAAGCAGCGGAATAACACAAACAACATGCACAAGTGACACAAGATTTAACGCGGAAAAACCTCCTCAACTTGAGGAGTAAAAAACCACGGCTATGGACCGACCGGTCCACGCAACTTCACTATGAGAATGATGAGTACAAAGTCTTCTCTAGAACCTCTAGAGAGATTTACAACACACTCTCCACACTGCCAACCGGCAACAGCAACAACAACCACAAAAGGCAAGATTTCAGCAAAGTAGAGTTTATACAGCTTCTGTACCCTCCAGTATTTTGCAAACTGCTCTTAAACCACTGAACCAAACAGCACCAAATTTGGCAGACAAGTAGACACACGAGTTCATGAGATCCTCTCCAAATTTCAGCTCAATCGGACATCGTTTGCCTACCCAAACTGTTCCTCTCCCAAAACTACTCTGTTCTGAAACTGCAGCAGTCAGAGCTGACAAAACCACTCTCAAATCTGATGCTCCACTGACCCAATCCTCAAACCAGCTAACCAAATCGAAGTACTCAAAGTAAGGAACGAGCTCACCAAGTTTGGGGTCTATCCAACCACATTTGAACCTCCAATCACCAGCTTGAACACTGTCTAGTCAGATGCAGCAAATCTGGACAGAACCTCTGCTTCTTCTTCTTCCTCTCTCTCAGGTTATGTTTTCTTTTGTCTCTCTCTCACTCTCACGAATGGCAGCCACCGCCAGCAAGCGGTGGAGTGGTTAGGGTTTTCTTCTTGCTTCACTTTCCTTGGAAGCGCTCTCAACCGTTGGATGCAGCGAAGATCAATGGCTGACATGTGTTGGACTTATGGGCTGATGTTGGGCTGCCAACACACCTCCATGTGGAGGGACTTAGCCCAACAAACTCCCCCTCCTGACATCATGGAGGGCCTTACTGCCTTCCGGCAGCCATGCCAGTGAGCCGGCGGCATACTTCGAGCTTTTTCCTTGTCACCACTTTAGTCAACATATCAGCCCCATTGTCATCAGTGTGAACCTTCTCAAGTTGCATTTTCTTGGAATACACCACATCTCGAATCCAATGATAACGGACTTCTATATGCTTAGACCTTGAATGAAAACTTGCATTCTTACTCAAGTGGATAGCACTTTGGTTGTCACAAAACAAAACATACTTGTATTGCTTAAAACCAAGCTCACAAGCCAACCGTTTCAGCCAAATAGCTCTTTGCTCGCCTCTGTTACAGCAATGAATTCAGCTTCAGTTGTATTCAATGCCACACACTTCTGCAGCCTGCTTTGCCATGACACCGCTCCCCCTGCATAGGTAACCAAGTAACCTGAAGTAGACTTCCTTCTGTCAACATCTCCAGCCATGTCAGAATCTGAAAAAGCAATCAGCTTTGCCTCACCATCACCAAAGCAAAGTTTCAGACTTGTGCTGCCCCGGAGATATCTCAAAATCCACTTCATGCTTCCCAATGAGGTCTTCCTGGATTGGACATAAATCCGCTCACAGTACTAATCGCATGAGCAATGTCAGGCCTTGTACACACCATAGCATACATCAAACTCCCAACCGCAGAAGCATAAGGAACATGATGCATTTCCTTTTTCTGCTCATCAGTGGTAGGACATTGCTTTCTTCTCAACTTAAAATGGGCTGCTAGTGGACAACTCACAACTTTAGCATTTTTCATCCTGAACTTCTGAAGTACCTTCTCAATATACTTCTCTTGAGACAAGTACAACTTGTTTGCAATTTCTGTCTCGCTCAATTCTCATTCCGAGAATGTTCTTTGCTGGACCTAAGTCTTTCATAGAAAAGCATTTGCTCAACTCCTTTTTCAACTTAGCAATCCTAGAGACATTCTTGCCAACAATCAGGATATCATCGACATAGAGCAATAATATGATGAAATCATCACCTGAGAACCTCTGAATAAACACACAATGGTCTGAGCTACACTTCTTGTAGCCTTGCTCCCCCATGACAGTTTCAAACTTCATGTACCATTGTCTTGGTGCTTGTTTCAGACCATAGAGACTTTTCTTCAGCTTGCACACATAGTCTTCTTTGTCTTTCACAAGAAACCCCTCAGGTTGCTCCATGTATATTTCTTTCTCCAACTCACCATGAAGGAATGCAGTCTTCACATCCATTTGCTCAACCTCCAAGTTGAGACTTGCTGCCATGCCAAGGATTACTCTTATGGATGTCATCTTCACAACCGGAGAAAAGATCTCATCATAGTCAATGCCTTTCCTCTGGCCGAATCCTTTTACAACTAGCGTGGCTTTGTACCTTGGATGTGATGTGTGCTCTTCTTACTTGATTCTGTAGACCCACTTGTTCTTCAAAATTTTCTTGCCCTTGGGCAACTTCACCAACTCATAAGTATGATTCTTATGCAAGGAATCCATCTCTTCTTGCATAGCCTTTTTCCACTCCTTCTTGTGCTCATTTTTCATTGCATCTGCAAAGCATTCAGGTTCTGAACCGTCAGATAATAACACCACGTATTGATCTGAGGGATACCTGTTGGAAGGAATTCGACCCCTTTGGATCTTCTGAGTGGAGCAACTGGTGGACTTTCTGGTGCTGGTGCTTCCTGCTGATCCTGATCATCAACTTCAGCATCATACTCTTGCTGCTGCTGTTGGGGAGCTTCTTCTTCACCTCCACCACCATGTACATCATCTTGTACATCTTCTGCATCTACTTCAACTTGCACAGGAGCTGGAGCTGCAGGAACTGGGTCACAATCAATCATGTCTTGCTGCTGCTGAGGAGGAACCTGCCCCTTTGTCTTCACAATATCCTCAATTGTTTGGTCTTCAACAAACACAACATCACGGCTTCTCACAACTTTCCTTGCTATAGGGTCAAACAGCTTGTAGCCAAACTCATCACCACCATAACCAAGAAAAATACACTACTGTGTCTTCGAATCAAGCTTTGACCTTTCATCTTGAGGAATATGAACAAAGGCCTTGCACCCAAAAACCTTAAGGTGGTCATATGAGACGTCCTTGTCACACCAAACCCTGTTAGGAACATCTCCCTGCAAAGGATAACTTGGTGAGAGATTAATAAGATAAACTGCAGTCATCAAAGCCTCACCCCAAAACTGTTTGCGTAGCTTTGCACTTGACAACAAGCATCTAACTCTCTCCACAATTGTCCTGTTCATCCTTTCAGCAAGACCATTCAGCTGTGGTGTCTTTGAGGGAGTAAATTGATGCCCAATACCTTGCTGCTTGCAATATGCATCAAATGGCCCAATGTACTCTCCTCCATTATCAGTGCGAATGCACTTGATCTTCTTCTCAGTTTCTCTCTCAACCAAGGCTTGGAATTGCTTGAATACACCTAGTACTTGATCTTTGGTTCTCAAAGTGAAGGCCCAAACTTTCCTGGAAAAGTCATCAATAAAAGTCACAAAGTACTTAGCACCACCAAGAGATCTTATCGACATTTTGAAAACATCGGAATGTATCAAGTCCAGCTTCTCGGGCTTCTTGTGAGGAGATAGAGTCTTGAAGGCAACTCGGTGTTGCTTCCCTGCTAGATAATCTGAACATTTCTTGATGTGAACTCCTTTCACACTCTTCAACAATTTTTTCTTCACTAGCACTGTCATCCCCTTCTCACTCATGTGCCCAAGTCTCTTGTGCCATAAAGCACAATGATCATCCTTCTCTAGTGCATTGACAGAAGCACTAAAGAGCTTAGCATGAACATTATACAAAACTGAGACCATTTTACCTCTTGCAACAATCATGTTGCCTTTGGTGAGCTTGTACCGCCCTTTTCCAAAACAGCTCAAGTAATCATCTCCATCAAGCCAACCAGCCGAGATAATATTGAGACAAAGTGCCTCAACATGCCTCACAGATTTGAGGACTAACCTTGTACCATTTGCGGTCTCCAAATGCACATCTCCTTTTCCAATGATGGCTGCTCTATCATTGTTTCCCATCTTCACAACACCAAAATCACCTGATATATAGATAGTGAAGAGCTCTCTGCGAGATGTAGCATGAATGGTAGCACCGCTGTCCGGTATACAAATCATCTCGTCACCATCCACAAGATTGACGGTTTCATCAGAAACAACAGTGATCCTCTCCTTAACAGTGGAACCAAATCTGCCCTCATTTTCTTCATGCATAACAAGCATGATGTCCTCTTCTACTACAATAACTCGGTTGCCCTCTGTCTCACTATCACCGTCAACTTGCTTCTGATATTGTTTCTTCTTTTTCTTTTTGTCTTTCTTCCACTTGTCACATTGCCACTTAATGTGGCCCTTCTGATGGCAGTGATGGCACTCATAATCAACATACTTACTTTTTGATTTGCTCTTACCTCTTTCTGCCCCTTTACCTGGACCTCTGCTCTTGCTTCTCCCCCTGGACTGAGTGACT